ATTTGAAAAAAAATCAGTGGATGGTTGTTTTCTGACTGGTCGGCTGCAATACGGTCGGCAGTCGGGGTCGGCGGTCGGCAGGCATGCAACCCTGGTGACTTGTACATACCTATGTTCTTATACGTAAATTTCTGCAGTCTACATGCTTGGAGATGGAAAGATAATGTCTGCTGTGGAGAGACCCAAGACTTGGACATGGGTAAGACTTATAGAGCTAGAGGCTATTCATTACGTCCCAGAGTGTTACATGCTGCGCCTGCAACAGGCTGCACGGGCCATTTTCAGGCCCGTGTTGTTTTCAGCCTGAAAGCCTGAAAACAAGGGCCTACAGGCCCCGTGTTGTTTTCTGAAACGGTATTCACCAGTTCGCAGTAGCCGATGCAGATCCCAGGGCTCGATCCCTAGTCCGCACCTTACCTGTGTACAGTATCTGTGTCGCTCCATAGAGTTGAACCCGTGACCTGTGTATTTGTAACAGTGGTAGACTGTCGTAGGGTCCAGGGGTCGGGTTCGATCTGTAGACCTGTCGTGTAGGAGTCTTAGTCAGGTCTAAGAGTCGTAGCTATAGCTTTTCTGAAGGGTCAAGGTCGTAGCTGCTACAGTAACGAAAGGCCAAGCCTACGGCCTTCCGGAAGGTCCCAGTAATGGCCTTTCGAAGTTGCCCACATTTAGGCTGAGGCAAGTGGGCAAGTGGTGAGGCAAGTGGGCAAGTGGTGGAAGTCTACCGTGCTGAGTCAACAGTCCCAGTCCCCAGTCAGTCCTTGTCCAGTCAAGCAAGTACCGCATGGGACTGTGTGCACTTCGGGCATGGGAAAGGGCCAGACCAACGAGCTGCAGAAGTATAAATCAAGAGGCAGCGCTCAGCCATTCATTTCATTCCTGTGTGAGCCATGCGGAAGCGCTGCCACAAGCGACTTGTGCAAGGAGGTCTGCAGTGAGCCCGAGGAAGAAGTGGGCAAGAGAGAAGGAGCTAGCCATAGCGATAGGGTAGTAGCGGCCATAGCCGCCGTAGCTGTAGGTAGAGTTCGGTGTATGTGTGTGTGGGAGTTCAGAGTATCGCGTGTGGGATATCCAGGGTGACCCTGTGTATGCGAACAGAGAGTTCTGTGGGCGCTGAGTCGCCATAGCCATCGGAGTGAACTTGAATCTGAACTGTGTTCTCGGTTACCATATCTCTGAGTTCTGAGTGGGCGCTTTTCGCCAGTTTGCTGCGCACCTGTTTGCATGCATGAGAGTGTGAATGAGAGCGAGTCTGATTGCATTGGTATAGGAGCTGGTACCCGCTATTCCACGCGCAGCGTTGTGTGTCGCAGGGAGAGTGATGCGCCATAGCTGAGGTGGCCACCGAGAGAAGAAGTCCGCCGTAGCGGACCTGGAGGTTGAAGAAGCCGCCGCGCGCACATGCAGAGAAGACCACGACGAAAAAAAGGAGAGAGAGAGAGAGAGGGAGAGAGAAAGGTTGAGCGATACAAGATTGGCTTACCACGTACCTG